AATTGATTTGGCTAAAAAGCGAGTGGTGAAGATTAAAATCGCGGCAAAAAAAATTTCCAAATCAATTTCGATACATTTTCGATGGCACCTTTGTGACATGCGATGTGTGTATCAACTTCCTTTTAAAAAAAGCTTAAAACGCATTTCGAACCATTCGCATAAAGCAAAACAAATGATAGCCCGCCACATTCCACAATCTCTGGCATAAATTGGACACATTAAAATCTCGCAGTCAAGTTTTCTAAATTCTTGAAGAGGTCGATTAAAATTTATATCGTCCGGCAGAGTCGCTATATTCGACTTTTGCTTCATTTCCGAATTTCTACCCGTAATTATTTCTATTTTAAAGAGTTTAGGTTCACGTTTATTCGGTTGCAGCTCAACTGCTGTTGCAATGTGTGACTTAGTGTGTGCTTTTCTTCCATTCCATCAAACTCTGTAGACAATAGACCTAAGTAATATAGTGGGTTTAACGTAATTCTTTCAACCTATAACTTATCACTTATTTTCCACTCTTTCAGCTTAGAACTGGCTCGAGTTCGTCGCGCTCAAGAAAACATTTGCGAATGAAACTTCAACATGAAATGTTTTTGAGCCATATTTTGAACTGATTTTCGCATTTTTTTTCTCCCCCAAATATATAAAGGGCATTATTATTATTATTATTATTATTATTATTGCAATTTGTTTTTAAATCAAAGAAATAAAACCACGGATGAGTAGTAGCCGATAGTCTTAGTTGCCAGCGGTCATACTGCGTTCAGTTTTACGATTTATTTCTTCGGCTTAAATAAAGAAAAATATAACAATATAATAATACCGTTAGGGTATTTAGAAAAAGGGTACTTTAACGATGTGCTTACTACTTGGCTGCCTATCTTTCTGGACTTCGTTCACTATATTGTGCAATTTTTTGATTAACGGCAACGCATTAGAAAGAGCATGCTGAGTATCAAAATTTTTAATCGGAAGCCTTACAGACAAGTACCTTTTGATAACGTCTCTTGTACATCAGTCATAATAATCAGTAAGAATAATTTTTTCATTGATATACGCTACAGGAAGCATATTTTCCAACACACCACCTTGTACCTGCCAGAATGAATTCAGTCATCATGAGTTGTTATATGGTAGAAGTCGTTAGACTGTAAATCGTATACCGCGAAATTGCCAGCCAAAAGTGCTGCAATCGTCAGACTACATGTAGTGACAAGCAAAAACAGTTACACTTGCACTTTCATCATAATCGTCAATAAATGTATAAACATTGTTAAGGGTTATAGAGTTCCCGATACCCATTTCTAAGTAAATATAAGAGCCGGTATGATAGCAGTTAGTAACAAGTTCTGCATTAAAATTTTACTTCGTGCACATAAAGGGAAACATTTCGTAGTGTCTCTCGCCAAAATTCAATGAAATCTTTCAATTTTTCTCTTAACGAATTTCTTTGAAGCAATTATTTGTCATTTTGTTCGATAAGATTTTCCCTAAATCTTTTAATAAAATCATTCTTATATCATTAACGGTTTTCCGCGTTTTCTGGGCGAAAAATTTAGCTTTCTTCCATTTTCATCGGCCTCTTTTAAAGACGAGAAAATTCTGCAGAAAGGCAAACATATGGTGGTGGGACAGTGTAATAATTACATGTGTGTGTAATCTGACATTATCATAATGACATACGTCTTATAAGACTGATTCAAAACAAATCTTGTTTTCTTCTTTATTTCAGTATGAGTTTCAATGAGCAGCTCTTCCAACATCTTTTTGAAGAATTTTTCCCCATTTTCAAACTCCAATTACCGGTCGACTAAATGAACAAAAATCACATCCTTTTGTTTTTCTTTTTAATTATCTTTGAACTGCTCACCGTTCAAAAGCCTCATAATATAACTTAATAGAATTCATATTACCAAAATTGCAAGGCCATAGAGCTCTTTAATGGGGAGAAAGGCAAGAAGATTTTTCTTTACCTATTGCGTCTTGACGACTACGCTCTGACATTAACATATTTTAAGTGATGCGGTTTAAATAGGCTGTATTGTGTCATAGACAAAGATCATCCCGAAACTATGGGTTGGGACCTTCTAGCATTTTAAAGCATCGTTAAAGCGTTTATGGAAATTTTATTATGTAACCCGTTTATCAAATGCTGAAAGCGAACAGTTCACAAAAAAAATTCAATAGCAAAAAAGAAAAGCCTTACAAACTTACAAGCTCACTTGTATTCACAAATTGGCAAATGTCGTAAAATTACCTTCAAGGTCTTTTTAAGCGATTTTTATCAAATTCGTCAACTGGTTGATTTATTATCGGGTACGCACGCAGCGTATACAAAACAGAGAAAGATGAAGAGTTCATACGAGCGTACGATTTGCGTAAACATTCAACCTTCTCATATACACTGCTATTCAATCTCTTCTTTTACTATATAATTGTCGTAGGGCGATAAGCAAACGTTTTACCTTCAAAACTCTGCTTGCTGTGGCTTCGAGGTGACCAAAGAATATTCATAAAAATAAACACACAATGTGTTCCTCTCTGTCTATATATGTGAAAAATGTGAATTTGTTTAACGACTTTCTACCGAATTTTCGTGAGCATTATTCCAGGTTCTTGTGCCACGGAAGCCAAGTAAATGATATAAATTTGGATCTACAATGCCCATAATATTAGGCTCATACTGCAATAACAACGACTAATTGTGGTTCGGCACTAGAACACGACACATACATATTTCTGTCCACTAAATTGGGATGTTTCTCATCAATTCAATTCAATTTCGCGTCAATTGAACCATTCCTATGTAATACTAGGTCGAGTCTATTATTCTGTTGCATGGCATTAGGTTACACAATACGTATTGTTTTTCTTTCAATCTCGCAAGGTATATATAGCACGACGTACCTTGTATGCATAAGTGCTGCAGAGAATAATATCAATAAATATTGCGGACAAACCGCCAACTGGTGTCAAAAGCGATGCCTTGCCTTCACAACTTTTTATTATCAACATTCACAAAATAGAAATAAAATAGAGCTTATTAAGTCTTTATGAGTCATACATTTTCGGGCTAGAATGAATCAAAGTAAAATGACAACTGTGTGCGGATATAATATGTAATGCTAATGAATTTCTGGTGATTAGCTTCTCACTCTCTTTCACCTTGTGTATCTTACTTTATTCAGTGCGTGTTCTTTAACATTTGCAAAGCAAAGTTCTTATGTTCATTTATTTGAAAAGGTTAGTTAGGTGTAAAGAACGGAAGTTGAGGTAAATGCGTTTTCCTTTACTTTGAAGTTTCTTTACTATTACAACTTATTAGCAGTTAGGAGAATGATATCTATCTCCAATACTATCTTGAAACGACTGTCATTTCATCTATTGTTTTCTTGTTAATTATAATTAACATTTTCAAATGTGTTTCCTTAATTCCTGCATATCCGTGCTTATAACACTTATCGTCATCATTGTAATCAATGACAACGGCATAAATGTATTAACTCAACTTTTGTTAATAACAATCAATATTTCCCGTATTTCTTACCATATTAGGTATGTGTGTTAGGGTGGTTTACGCGATTTCTACGAAATTTTGGCGGCAAACTCCTCAATTTTCTTAAATATTTTAAGCAATTTTTTTTAAATTATTTCTCCCTCTTTTGCATCGATCAATAAAAAATATTCCTCTATGATATAAAATATTAGAGTAATTCGAAAAATTACTATATGTGTATACGCAGAAAGAAGGAAATGTAAAGATTATGAGTTTACATTCGTTTCAAGTTTACACTCTGGAAGATGTTATATGTAAATGAATACATAGAACACAGATTTGATTCTCTGTTAACTAACTCTGTTGGCAATGTTAGTGAAATTTTATTGTAAATGAATTACTTGATTTGCGATAACATCGTGCTATCGGTTTTAGTTTACATATTACATATTTCGTTCTTGAGTTCAAATCTCTTAACTTGTACTTTATTTAATTTAAGTTATTTTTGCGTTTTGTGTACAAAACAATTTAAACATTGTTAATCATTTTATTTGTTTTTTTATTCATCCTATTTTAATACCTTATCATTCATTTATCCTGCTTCAGTTATTAGATGGCTTTTCCCTATTCGTTACTCGTTATTCGTGTACTTTCACTGCATTTTTTATGGTTCGCTCTTCTTATTTATATACGTCTTCGACTATCCCTTGTTAAAAATATATGAAAATTATTCGCTTTCAACAATGCGTCATTGATGATTAAATTCTCAATTACGTAATTTTTATTACGCGGTTCCTGATATTTATCCATTCGCAACTATCCACCATTTTTAATTATGGGCTTTTTATTTTACATTTTCAGTTATTTACCCGCGTTTGTCATTAGTCAATTATTTCAGTTACTTTATTTATAATTCATCATTTATCCGTTTCCAACTGGCCCAAATACCAAATTCACTTTTCAATGTGCATTTTTAGCTATTTACCCTTTTCAGGTATGCTTCAATGTCAACACATTCTCGATTAGCTAGCTACCTTCTCCAATTATCTTCTAAGCTATCAGTTTTTTTTTTATTTATTTTTTTTATGTTATTTATGATTTACGATTTTCATCAATTTCGAGCCTCATTTCTCGCTACCAACTCATGAACAGAGTCACTGGTATTTAAATCTACCTACCTATATATGCAATGCATTATCCTAATGAAAACCCATGCACCAAGTTGTAACTATGAAGCTTTACAAAATAAATAAGGAAAAGTTCGAAGCATATTTTCATCGAATATTTACATAAATTTTCCTTTCTTATTATTCTTATTATTCACCTCTCTCGATGGTTTATTCGTGGAGGAGTTTTATTTTAATTATTATACTGTCCATTAACGTATTGTTGAGTAGAGATAAGTTCGAGGCACCATACATCTTACTATCTTCTCACTTATTCTTTTACCCAATACGATATGAAAGGTCCGTTAAGTTCAAGTGAGCCATCTTCATTTGAAACTTACCTTTGGATTTTTGGGTTAAAACTTGCATTGACGTCTACTTTTTGATTTAATCCAAACAGTTTTTGCCAAAAATTACTGTAATTGAAAAGAAAAAAACGGGAAAATATGATAGATAATACATTATTAAAACAAAGTAGGTGTGTTATGTAATAGAAAGTTAAGCAAATATTATAAAAATATTTATAATGAAATCAAACACATAAGCTACGTATACGCCATGTAAACATAGGAGGCGCAGAAGATAGTGATACTGATGGCGATTGTGGTAGCAGTAAATAGTGTTGACGGTGAGAATGGTGGTGTCGGAGTCAAAACCCTTAGAAGCAAACTGTAGACAGAGAAAAACAACCAGCAGTGAAAATAAATAAGAAAACATTTTTCAATGAATGAAAGTTATTGAAAAATTAGAAAAAAAGCGAAATGAAAGCAAAAAAAAAAAATTTGATAAAAAATTAACACCACACCTCTTTACAGATAATTTATATAAATGGAAATACTTATACTTATATATACACCAGCAAACATTTACACGCACCCATTCAAATACGTGAATGTATTTAAAGAGAAAAAAAAAAAAAACCAATTTAAATTAATTTTCGTGAAGAAGATTCAGCAAAACATGTAAATGTCACAGAAATTATTTAATGCTAGAGGTCTTATATGGTACAGGGATAGAGAGAGGTGGAGATAGACGGAGAAAGAGTAAGGGAAAGAGAGAGACAGATAGAAAGAGAGAGAGAGAGACAGAGAGAGAGATAGAGAGAAAGAGAGGAAAAGAGAGAGCGACTTTGTTGATGCGAAACGAACGCGTTTGGGATTAGAACTAAAGAACAAAAGTAAATTGGAAGCTAAATCGCTGTGTGTTCCGCTTTATATGGTATTTTGCTTGTGGGCATATGTTGGGTGAACGAGGAGGGGCTGGGCACAAGATAGGGCGAGAGATGATATACACAAAACTTTTTTTTTTTTTTTCTTTTTTTTTAAATATATATACATATAAATGAGTGACGTATTTGGCGTAATAATAATTTTGATATGTTTGTATTGTTTTTATAATCACAAAGCGCGCCCACACATACACATACGTTAGCAATTCACCTCAACCAATATTTTGTTTTTATTGTTATTACAGATTTTATTATTATTATTATTATTATTATTATTATTTGTATTTTAATAAAACTATTTCTTCTGTAGACGAGCCAGCCGGTAGACGATATGCTTTTTTTCCAATTTTCCAATTGTTTTTCATTTTTTAGTTTTTCTTTTTTATTAACCGGCATAACACAATAAAAACTTTACGCGTTGCACTTTTTTTTCTCCTCTGGTTATGCATAGAAATTTTTTGGTTTATTTTATTTGTATTTCGATTGTTTTGATTTTTCCAGCACAGTTTATTGCAAGCTGGGGTAAAAAGTTGTTTTTTTTGTCTCTACATTTTCTACATATACTAAAGTTATGCACGGTTTAAGCAAAAAGAACGAGAAAAAAAAAGAAACTCACAAGAAAAAATATGTATCTGAAAAAAAGCAAAAAACTAAAAAAAAACACAGAAAAAATAAATTGAAAAAAAAAAAAATCACAAACCAAGCGCACGAGTTAAACGTACGAAACGTAACGAGCGAACGTACATACACCAAAAATGTATCTCAATCTAAAAAGTCCACAATAAACACTAAAATGTATATCGTCCACACACACGCACACACACAGAAACCTTTCATTTATATACTCGTGCACTACTACACACATTTAGTTTTTTGTTTTTGTGTAACGAAAACATTTGCTAAAAAAGCAACAACAAACATTTTTGCGTTTCTCTATTGTATTTTACATATGATTGTTGTTATTGTTGTTGTTATTGAATGTGCTGCTTTAATACTAAAACGCGGAGAGGGGAGCAAGAAAAAGAGGAGCCAACTCAACATTACACATTTATCTGGCTTAGTTAGCATTAGTTAACTCAGTGGGTAGAACATTCAGCATATATATAAGTGAAACTCTCAGTAATTAAACAGAGAATGGAAGGGAGAGAAAACAGAGAACGAGTAATATGAAGAAGGAGAAAGAGCATTTAGATATAAAACTCTCAGGTCATTTTTCATTTCCCTCTTTTTTTTTTCCTTCTTTCAAGTTGCGTTTAACAGACCCTCTCGTAAAAAGCAAATTCTATGAAGAGAATAATTTCTAACATACGCTAAATAAATGAGTGTTTCGGAGAGTAGTGAGAATGTTAGAAAATCTCTCGTTTATTAACTGCTTATGCTCTAAATTCTCCAACTTTGTATAAATCAATTTCTAAGCTGCCCTCACATTCACTTGGTTACTTGCTGAGTATGAGAAGTTAACATTTTGCTTTGCTTGTATGCGTTTGTTAGTTAATGTTAATAAATGTATATATATATACACGATATGTAAAAATATATATACATATATATACATATATATATATATATATATATATGTATATATATACATAATATATAATAGGTTGGTATTTCTTAAAGAGTAAACGTTATACAATCGCTTTTATGTACATATTATTAAAAGTGCTGTTTAATATTAAAGTTTTATTTATATATGCTTTAAAAAGTATATAATGTTAAATGTATAGAGAAAATCATATATTCGGATGAATTTCGATTTATATGTATTCCCTAACAAAGCATAGGGGCGCCAACAAATTACACGATTCCGCATTTATGCAGATTGAGTGCTCAAATTTAAATTAAATTTTTTACATTTCCTTTATAAACTTTTAAATCTACTTTGAAGAATATTTAAAAATTGTGATATTTCGCTTCTTAAATTATGTTAACCTGTGTGCGGTTCTTTAAAACACATTTGAAAACTGAAAGCATTCATCATAAAAATATCGATTGGAGACCGCTAGTGTAACCACTATGACTCTAAACCGCCAATCCATTTAAGACTATATACTTTGGAAAGCTCAGGCATTAGGAATTGATCTGAGCCATTAAAAACTCGTGCCATTATTAGTGAGTCTAAGATCGCAAGTAAATAGAAATAATTTTATATACTTCGAGAAAATCACAAAGTTAGCAGCCTAGGGGTTAATCATTGGGCGTCACGCTGCTAAATTAAAAGCTAACCCTAGTACAAATATAATTTAGTCATAATTAAACTAGAACTAGAGCATTCTTTAATAGAATCAACTCCAACAATGATTCCAGTCAAAATTAGCAACATTCAGGTATTTTCCAATTTCCGTGTTTCCCTGGTTGGCGTGGCGAGCGATAAAGCAGACGCGTCTGTCATTTTGGAGAACATCAGGTAAAAAATTAAGCGCAGACATTAAAATGTAGACACACAGGTTCGATAAGCAACATAAAGCATAGGAATAGCAAAACAACACACTCTTAATTTGGAACAATTAACAGAAGGACCAAGTTGGCGAGAGAGAATGATAGAAGATAGCTTGATTAATATCAAAGAAACTATTAATTATGATAAACGAATAGATAAACAATTCATGATAATAAATTGAGAATATATATATACATAATTATGTAAATAAAATTGTCAAATCAATTCTGCATTGAGAATTCTTAGTGTTCGTGAGATCCACTTCTGAAAGCCGAGAGCAGTCTCGAGCAGTGTAGCCTCACAGGAACAATGACCCTTGTAGAAATCCAAACGAAACTCGTTTTCTGTCATTTTCAATAGGAGAAATCTATTCGTTTATCGTAAGGACGCCAATCAGTTACATATAAACAAATATTCTCGTTGACGATCATGCATTTACCTGTACAACCTGTAGATTTTTGAGAGATTTTAGTTCACAAACTCTTACAATATCTTTAAAAAGCCACATTTTCACGTTGTATTTATCGCGGAAACTGAAACCGGTAGTCACGACAACATAGATGTTCTAAGGTGTAGAAAGCCTTAATGAGGTCAAATTTCATAAAATTATGCGATTTATTCAGCGCTAACTGAAGATATCTATACCGTTGAGCTGAATACTTTTTATATGGGAATTAGATATGCTGTGATCATGTATTTCGGCTTATTCGTAATGTGATTGACGGACGTACACCATTTTAAATTGAACATATACTTATGATTTTTATATTGACATAATAAGCAGAAGCCCTCCATGAATTTGTAAGGGTTTCAAGCTCAGTATGCAAATGTTGTAAATTACCCACTAGTCTTTATATACAACAGTAACAGTGTTGTTGATTTTAAGGTAAATTGTTACTGTTTTCCTGACAACGATGCAAAGCAATTACGCAGTCAGTGCTTATGTTTGTAATTGGATGTTGCTCTTGTTGGCTCATTTTGATAAATTCCGAATTATTATGTATATGTATATACCTAGACACCTATGTATTTGCTTGATCTACGCTTCAGGATCGGTTTAGTCTTGAACTGGTATTTTTTTACGCATGTTATATGTTTTTGGAGACTTACGGTCGCAAAAGTTGAAGTAGAAAACTGAAACTTGGTGCATATATACTCTTAGCAATCCCTTTAAAACAGCTGACTCAAAATTTAAAAAAAAAAAACGTCAAAATCAATGCAAACATGGTCTCAATTGGCCAACTGACACGCCAATAATTGATCGAAAGGAGATAGGAACGAAATTCGATGATGATAATGCGACTGGCAGTCACTTCTTGGGGAAGGAATATTGATGGTCTACGTGTAATATGAATGCTGTAAAATGTTAAAGCTAAACCGGCACCTATTTGCATTGTAGTATTATCTCGAAAATCAACTGTACAGTGTTTTAGCAAGAGTTAAGCTTCGCCCCGTTTTTCAACTATCAACATACCATGGACATTGCGATGGCACAAATGATTAGAAAGTTTTCATGTGGAACATGGAACACCTTACCTTACGTATAGGGATTTATTACCAAACGATGTCGACCGACCTTTGAATGCCATCGTGTGGAAGACGTTTATTTTCAGCGAAACTGCGCCACACAACTCGCTTTATTGAGGGACTGGTGTTCGGTGCTCACCTATTGTTGCAACACATATATAGACATTAGCGCCGAACGTTGTAATTAACACTTTCTTTTTTTTGGCTTTGACACCTTCCAAGTCTTTTCAAATATTTCGTTACTGCATTCAAGCGAAGAGATACATTTGAAGGGAACGAGAATTGACTAACTGTAGCAGCATAGTTGAGTAAGTAAAACTCGCAACTACCAAGTCACTGTTCGTCGGTTCAAATCTCAGTGCCATAGTAGATCATGCATGATCGAAACTGTAATGAATGCCCAGTCGGTGGAGGCGCAACATTTACCGATTGGACACACACCTACTAGATTGCAGCTTTTTCCCTTTTCGCAATCTTTTTACCCGCCAACGCGGTTTGCATATAAGGCTCATCCTTTAAAGAAACAAAAAACTAGCTAAGCAACACGACCGGCTTGATATTTTGAGGAACAACGCGACTTGCCGTCAAAGCATGCACATATCCTCTCTAAAATTAACGAGAGCGCCAATTAACACCGCAATCCGGTTCCTATGGCTTGTACGCGTATTCACTTTTCTTGTTCTTTTTTTTTTTTTTTTGAGGTTTAAATCTATATTTTTTTTTTGTTGGCAACAAAACCGAATAATATTTCGGTACCCAATGGAAAGGTCTGTGATGGTGTCTCATTTTCTGGATAACTTTAAACGTGTGATAGTGATCATCGATATTTTTTCATTAGCATTGCTAGTCGTAAATTATTAGTCAACACGTATGTGAAGGTTTTTCCAATACATTAATATTGTTGTTTAAACTTACCCCTTAAGCAAAAATGGCAGTATGTAGAGAGGAGGCTAACGCCATCGGAAATAAAATGGTTTTAATTAATACATTACTTTTTCATATTTTAAGACACGAGAATTGACGAAATTGTAAGGAAAGAGTTTCTGATATAACTATAAAAAGACCTTGAACGAGAAAAAGACTAATTTTCCTTGTAATATTCGCTATTTGAGATATACGTAATAAAAAATAAAATAAAAATAAAAAAAAACAACAACAACAACGGATTGACTTCAAACGAACGATTTCTGCTTAAAGTACTTTCAAGCTGCCTTCGTACGGGTGTATTAATAATTATTCACTTTAACTTATTTAAAGCGTTGACACCTTCAGGTGTTTTCCTTGCACTTTCATGACCCAATTTAACTGATGAAAATTCTTAGCAGAACTTACGTAACAAATACGTTGAAAATGTGTGTATATATACATATATACAAAATTATATATATATGTATATGTGTATGTATATGTATATATATTTATATACATATACAACAAAACAGATGAAATACAGTCAAAACATATTGACTACAATCCTTTATGTCTCGTCTGCGTGGCAGACGGTAGACAACAGGGAAAAATTGGAAAAAAAATAATACTCAAGAAACTTTTTTCCAAAAAGTACGAAAATTTTGCAATTACAAAACAAAACCTTAAAAAAAAAAAACAAAAAACAAAAATAAATAAAAATAACACGCATTTCTAGCTAAAGGTAGACGAAGCGAAACAAGCGAAGAGGCAAACAGCCAATGTGTACACACGAGTGTACCTCTTCTTCATCTATTTTCCCTTTATCAACGAAACATGGTAGACAGTTGAATAACCATAGCAGCAGCAGTGCTGTTGCAATTTATGTACATACACACATATAAGCGTTTGTTTGTTTGTTCGCCTGAAACTTTACTATTCCTCTCATCCTTGCTGCTGCTGCTGTTGCTGCCTTTGTTGTTTATTTTCATTACAGTTTTGTGTGGTAGTAGTTTTCACTTTCACATACAACACACAAAATTCTACAAATATAAAAAACAACACAAAATATCTAAACTAAAAAACAAAAAACAAAAAAAAAAAAATGAGAAAAACAAAAATTGAACACCGTCTAGTAAAGTTTAACTAAAAAGGGAAAAATAAAAAAAAATGCATAAAAAATAAAACAAAACCAGAAGAAAAAAGGGAAAAATGCTGGTAGAGTACTTATAATCAGTGCCACTTAAAATCCTTTCAATGTCGGAAATATGGTGGCAAACATCAAACACAAAACATACTCGAAAAATATGAGAAATTTTGTGACATAGAAAAAAGCCAACGTTTAGCGTACATCAGAGATATCTTACGACAAATAATGACTAATTTATAAACTAAAAATCGTAAAGAATACATACACGGCTGTAATGGATAAAACAATTGTA